CCCGCCTCCCCGCTCGGCCCCGGGAGCGCCGCTCCCTCCGGCACCCCCGCCCGGCCCGTGCCGCGGTACGCGGCCAAAGCCGTCCCCCATGGCGGGCGGTGCAGCCGCGCCCGCTCCGGGGGCACGCGGCGGCTGCTGCACCAAGGTTCCGCCCGGCGGGAAGGCTCGCAGAGCCGAGGGGCGACCAAAATCCTCGCTGGTGGCTCCTCACGGACTGCTCCAGGTGCTGCTGTCATCATTCCCCACCTCAGGAGCATGAGGACAAATCTGGCTGCGAGGCCACCCCGCCCTAGGCACTCAGACCTATGGAGAACATCATTACAAAGCAGAGATGAGGGTTGGGGCTTCTAAGGGTGTGATGGTAAAAGACGATTTATTTCCTACAGCCTGTTCATAAAACGGAGCTTTCCAAAACAGGTACGAGATGTTAAACCCAGCTGCTCCGGTCTTCAGCACTCCCAGAAGTTAAAGATCCACCAGGACCTTCTCTCCTGCCTGCTAACACGGCTGAAGCTCTCAGCACCATGCTGAACCTGCAAGGAGAAGCCAGGGGATGGAACTTGGCACTTCGGTAATTCCCTGCTCTGTGCTCTCCTGGCATTAAAGTTCATTAACATCATACCTGGGTAATCAGCCAGCAGGGCAGCAGCACGGGCGGAGCCAAAGACAGGATAATTCTAAAAGATGACCCACCAAAAAAGGGCTCTGGATGAATAGATTTGCTGTGTACTGTTATTTTTTAATTAGTTTGTCAATTAAAAAAAATCCACCCCGTAAAAACTGAAGGGAGACTACAAGAAAGATGGAGAGAAACCTTTTACAAGCGCATGGAGTGACAAGGGGGAATGGTTTCAAACCCAGAGGGCAGGGTTAGATGGGATTCTGGAAAGAAATTCTTCCCTGTGAGGGTGGGGAGGCTCTGGCACAGGGTGCTGTCGCTGTCCCTTGATCCCTGGAAGTGTCCAAGGCCAGGCTGGAAGGGGCTCGGAGCAACCTGGGATAGTGGAAGGTATCCCTGGCCATGGCAAGGATTAGAATGAGGTGATTTTTAATGTTCTTTCCAACCCAAACCATTCTGTGGTTCTAAAATTCTATGAATTACAGCTACTTTATGTCAGCTGAGGCCTTAGAAGATATTCCTATTTAATTCTGGAGCTAAGAATGTTAGTCAAAATAAACCCAGAACTTAAATTGTAGGTGCATTAGGAGGACAAAGGAGGAAAAGTCTAACTACAAGACAGATAAAGTACTGCTTTCTCTCCTCACAGGTTTAAATGAAAACAATAATTATAAATTAAACGGGAACGCACTGGAATAGTTAAACTTTCAAAATAACAATGTTTCACTTCATGACAAAACAAAAGCTGGAGCTGGAAGAACAGTTTATAAGCCCCAGGGGAGGCATCACGGATCTCAAACACACAGGTCCATATGTTCACTCTGCTGTGAGTCAACAGCTGCCCAAATAACTGACAAGGGATCAAAAGTGGGGTGTCTGAACTCTAAACAGTGCAAGGTGTGCAGACACACACTTCCTTCCTACATGGAAAAAAAAGGAAAAAATATTAAACACAGTCCCCTCACTGCTGCAGGAAACTCAACTCCCCTGTGATGCTACACTGGAAGGATCCAAGTCTGTCACCCAAAAACAGCAAAGCAATTTCAGGGCGTTTTCTCTTTCATATATAATTTTATTTCTGGTTATAGAAACAAATGCTAAGAGGAGAAGCAACATTCCCCAACCACATACATCAAATTAAGGTAACAGAACAGTTAAAATAAATGGAAAAAAAAAAAAAAAAAGTAGAAATTTAAACCTTTGTTATAGCTTTAAAATATTAACGTTCTCGATACATTAGAAATCACATTCAGATCTCAAATTACTTAAAAAATGTATGGCTCTATATTAAAAAAAACAAACAAACAAAACCACTGTATCCCATTTGATGTGGAAACACAGGTCCTGCTCCTGGGATGCAGGATCCCACACACTGGTGGGAGCCACGGCTGCCTTGGACATCTCACAGGAGCAGCGCTGCAAACATGGCCAGAGAAACAACATGAACTTCACATCCACTGCCCCACATGGAGCTTCCCCCCTTGGGATACACACCTGCTTTTTAAAAAGCACTGATAACGAAAACAAGTCACAAAAAAAAAAAATAAAAATAAAATAAAACAACAACTTTTGATATCAGCTGTAAAAAAAAAAAAAAACAACCCCACAAACCTCGAAACATCTGGCTGGAGGTGTCTTGCACAGGCAACACCAGGAACTGAAATGCAAGCATGGCTTTAGTTTCCCCTTTCAATCACCTTCTTATTTTATAAAATAAGTGCCAAACTGAGGTGAAAGGGGTAAGGCTGGCCCAGATCTCTGTAGCAAACCCTTCTGTGAAGCCATTGAGGTATTTCAGGTTCTCCTCTCAGCCTTCCCCGGGGACTCGGTGGGAATGAGCGTCTGCAGAACAGGGGGAAAGTTGGATTTTTCTGAATCTGTTTTTTACTAAGAGCAATTATTCAGAGTTGGATCTGAATTTCCAGCTTTACCATCCATTGCTCACACACAGCTTTTGATTTATCCCTAAACAGCTTTTATCAGTCCTTTGGATAACAGTCCTTTGGATAGCTACAGACTCTTAAAATGCTCTTTTTGGCTACGTGGAGGTTGGCTGGCAGGCTGGACAAGTCCAGCCTCCCCAGCACAAACTGCATGTCCAGAACCCAACACAACATATGGTCTTGTAAGATTTTCATATTTTAAAGCCATTTTCTGTATCACTGTATTTGAATGAGTTTGGTTTTGCTTTTGTTGTTGTTTTTTTTTTCTTTTTTTACATTCTGTTTTCTATTAAAGCAAAAAGATCTTACAAACAATACTCTGGTTCCCTCTACTTCAAGCCCATTTGAGGGAGAAAAAAAGGAGAGATTAAGCAAGTTCAGGTTTACAGTAATTCAATTGCTACAGAGCCAACTTAGCAGCCTGCCCACCTCCCAAGAGCAGCATATAAATCAGCAGAACATCAGGATGTTCTGCACCAGACTTTTAGCAGCAAGACAGTGAAACAGAAGGAATTCTCACTTTTTCTGCTCCATTTAAATCTCATTTTTCTTCAGCTACCAGACATTTCTCCTCACTGTTGCCTTTAGCTTTAAGGAAGGCTCTGCCTCAGACTGCTTTAAGTGAAACTGAGGTGGGGTAGAAGCAGGACAGAGATCCAGATCACAGCATAACTTGGCAGCAGACACGAGGCAACAACAAAATATTAGGGGAAGTCTGGGTTTCACAGGGGCTGTTTTCTGCTGGATGAGGAGGAAAGCTGCTTCCTTTCACTGCTCCTATTCTGGTCACTCTTCCTATCACCAACCCTTGTCCTCCCTGAAGCCCCATCAGCAGCCAGTGATTGCTGAGGTGAAGCTTCCACTCAGATCCTCATAGAGAATTTCTGCTTCTGGAAGAGCAATTAGGATTAGTCAAATATCACCTGCTTTTATTCTAAAAAGATCCAAGTGGTTCAAAATACACCCTTCTGTGAGTTTAGTGATCCTTGTGGAATTAAACCACATTAAATTGGCCAGTTCAGTAAAATTTACTCCCTGTGAATGGAAACATTAAAAAAACTCTTCTGTGCTTGTTTTTAAGGGGATATAGACACCATCACCCCACAAAGAGACAGAAGCATGATAAAAGGAAAATAATCTCACCACAGAGGGAAAGAAACGATTTCCTAGTGCCCCATTGTTAGCTTAGCCACCTGACAGGGAGGAATTCCTCAGCCTTACAGCATCCTCGTGGACCACCCATAAATCTCTTCTGTTAGAAATAAGGTCCCATTACTTACAGAGCAGAATCTGTAAAGAACTCCCTGATACTGCATTTAGAGAGAACTGCAGACAAAAAGGGATTCCAGCTTTCACTAGTGCCATTTGGGGGTTTTCTTGCCAGAAAAGCAGCGTGGACTGGGGTTGCTGAAAGCAGGACAAAGCCAGAAGCAGGGATCCTACACAAGGAAGATGCAAGTACCAAGTTGCCTCTTCTGCTCTGCGAGAGGAATGAAAGCAATCACAGAAGTAAAGCTGCTTCCACTGGCTGCTCACATTCATTACAAAAATAGGTTAATCGTTCTTTCAGAGTCAGTGCCTGGTACAGGAATTTACCAACACACTGTATAAAAGTCTGTGTAAGTACCATTTAAGAGAAAGAAATAGTCATGGACCATTTATATATCTACATTGACACACACGCTTACACACTCACACATTAATAAATATAGATTTCATGTTTACACAGATCTAATTTAATATTCTCTGAAAAAAAAAATATTTAAAGGGTTTCTTCCTTAGCTGCCACCCATGAATTGTCAATGGTTTTTTTTTTCTGTCTTGAGAGCAAAGGGATAGATTTGGCACAACCACCCTCGTGCTCTGAAACTTAAAGTGACACATAAGGAGAGGACCAACCATACATTCTGAAAGGTTTTAATTCAGTGTTGGTAAATTGAAAAGGTATCAAAAGAATTTTCTGAACATATAAATACAAACGTCAAAAATTGATTCAAAATTTGGAATTTAAATATAGTGCTCCAAGAAAACCAAGTATTTTTCAAAATGTCTTGCTCAGGCCAAAGTAAAACGCTCCCTGGTGTATTATTGCCCCATGAAAGACACCCTAACAGAGAAATCCCACCCTCACAGCTATGAAATTCCCACTGCTGATTATGGCATGAGGGTGTATCCACACCTGTATGCACAAACACGTGCACTGAGCTGCAAACAACCCACCCAGCAGAGAGAGAAGCTGATCTAACAAATCACAGCCCAGAGATTGCCCAGCTGCCTTTGCATCAGGTGCAGATCAACATGCAAGGAGGCATCGCCTCCCAACCCCACCAGCTCCAGCAATCCAGATGACCTTGTAGTGTAACAGTTTTCTGCAGCACAGCTGGCTCCATTGGAAGCTACACTTTCCAGCAGTAGTGTATGCTATAATAGCAGCAGCTAGGGCTTAATTTTTCACCCAGGACACAAAAAGTTCTACAACAGATTGTTTACTCATGTAACTGCAACCTAACACAAGAATCCTTGCCAGATGCAGACCTTCAAGCAATGGAATTAATTTAGGAGTTGGATTAAAGGACTCTGGAGTTGACAGACAAATAGAGGGGGAAAACTGATGAGGAGCAGAAATAGGAGCTGCCCAAGAGACTGGCTGGCAAGAGAAGACAGATCATTTACTGAAGGATGGCATTTACAAACTCAAAAACTCAGTGTGCAACAAAGGAAAATTATGAAGCAAGTCCTGTTCCTTTAGAGGTTCATTCTTAATGCCCTAGTCCAATTTATTAGCAGCAGGACCTAAAAAACCTCAAACATTTTGAAGCAGATAGAAACTCAAGGCAAGTTCCACATTGGATTGAAACTATCACTTGATAAGATAAAGCACAGGTATCTCTAAAAGTGATCAGGATCCTTCAGTGCTGCTTCCTGCTCAAAAAGACCCAAGCTAGGACTGTCCCTTGGAAGTGAGGGACAACATGGTCACATCTGCACAAATGAAATCCAGTTCACTCTGTGATTTGTTCCTTACTCTTTAAACTTGTCTTGCAGAAGAGACCAAACAGGTACTGGGCTGTACTGGCAAAAGTGTAGCAACTAGGCCAAGGAAAATTATTCTCTTCCAACCCATCCAGCATTTTCCAGATCACGTCTGCAGCACTGCCTCTGTGTTTGGGCTCCCCAGTACAAGACTCACAGTGACCTCCTGCCTCAGAGGCAAGGAACAAAGGCAGCTGCATGGGCAATTCTTATGTTGCTGAGAAGTTTTTACCTTGTGTGTGTGGATTCTCTAAGGAAAGATACAGAACTACAGCTAAGTGAAAACTTTGTCATCCAAGATGCCCAAACCCAGGTATAGCAGGGAAACACTTCTCCTTTCACCCTAACATTTTGACATTCACCTACACACTAGCACACACCAGTGACACCAAATAAATACCCCCTTGCTAACACAGATGAAAAGCTCAAACACCAAGTGAAAATCCCCAGCAGGCAGGGAGAAGTGCTCCACACCACACTGCATGAGAGCTCAGGTCAGATGCTCTCACTTGCTTAGATACAGGTCCCTAGCCTTCTGTGCTCCAAGTTTCATTCCATTGTGGGCATCTCCCTACTGAAAAAGGAAAAAAAAAAGTGGAAATTAACTCTGAATGACAACTCTAAGTCAGTACACAAGACCAAACATGCAAAATCAAGTTTACTCCCCACAAAATCTGATGCTAGACCGTGACATTGATGGCAGAAGCACTGCAAGAGCTTGAGCTGTTACTTCGTTCCTCTCACAAAGCTTTAACATGTCTCTGAAAACACTCTCCTGAATAAGCTCTGCCCAACAGTAACATGTTTAGAACACTGCATGAAAATTAATACAAGGTAACCAAATTGACCTTTCTCAACCTGCTCTGGAGCTCCATGTATTCCACAGGTATTTTCATCCTTGAGTCCTCAGGTAGAGCTTAATGCAAGGTGCTGCTCCTGTCAGTGGATAAAAATGACTGGATATGCTACAGGGGACAGTGTTAATGGTATGGGAGAGGGAGGAGTATGGGAAGGAAAAAGAGTTGAAAAGAATATATGAGCTAATCATGAACTTCAATTTTGTGCTCAGCACTGTGCTGTGTTATCACTAAATCAGATTAAATTGATCTTTCTCTAAAAAGCTTTCAGTATCATAAGAGCCAAGGTCAAGACAAACATAGTGGAATTCTGGTGGAATAAAACAAAGAACAACTGCATCCAGCTCTTGCAAACTGGAGCAAAGAAAGTTGCTATAAACTAACTGTGATCAAAGTAGAATTAGTCAATGTCATTGCCTAAGGTGAAAAAAAAAAATCAGTAGGAATTGGTGGAAAGTGAATTCACACATTAAGAACTTGGCTTTATAGTTTTTCCAGGTCTAAGTTATGGCAGTTTAAATATTCAATATGCCTTGACCTTCATTACACAGACAGCAGAAAATCCAGTGAAGCCTCCACCTTCACTTCCCCTCAAACCTTTTTTAGTTAACATCATCAAAGAGGAGATGCAACTTTTTAGACAATAAAAACAAGTCAGATTATCAATTTAAAATAATCCAAGTACTGCTTATAAACATTAGGGTAAACATTTTCTTTCTAGCTGAAGACTTAATTCTACCACTACATTGATTTTCATGCCTCTGCAGTCTGGAGAATCAGGACTGGTATGTAAAAAGAACGGTGCTACCTTCCAGACTGAGCAGCGTTGACAGAATTCATCTGGAGGCCTGAAACAAGATGTAAAATGGATGAGGACCACACTTTTCCACAGCTCTCAACACGATTTAGCAAGAACAGTTATTTTACCTGGTACCAGGCAATGTTTAGGCAAACCTACAAAAAAAATCTGCAAGTGGCAGGACTGCTTCCTACAGGGATGCAGCAGACTGATAAAGCAAAAACCTCCTGACAGGATGAACTGACAAGTTCCAGACATCTTAAGCAGAAAAGGGGACCAGAACAAAGATATTTGCTTATCCTCAACTCCCATTTGAATCAGCAGGCATTGTGAGCCACGAAAAGAAGAAAGTGTTACTCTGTTCTAAATACTCAGGAGGCAGATCTACCCATGCAACCTGAGGACAGAGCTTCTAGAGGTATCTATAAAGCAGCAGCTCTATGGTGGATGAAAACACTGTCACTTAGCTGGTATCTTTGGTGCTGGATTAGTTTACAGGAGGTCAGGGCTTAATTATTTAGACTCTTCAAGAGAAAAGCATCAGCGAATAAAAATCCACAGAATCTTGGCAGCTCCACATCCTGAACAGTTTTCTGTTGGTTTTTCATCTTGCTCTGACTCACCCAACATTCTGGAAACCCAAGGACTCTTGCTCTTCCGGAGTGCTCCCAAGCCTCGGGGCCATTTCAGAGGCGTGCCTGTATCTAAACCAGCAGTCACCCCAAAGTAATGATTCACCACAGACAGACTGTGCTGCACTCTCACTTGTGCCTTCTGCCTTGAAGTTCATTTTATTGGCTCCTGGCTGTGAAAAGGCTACAGAAAACAGAGCTAATCCGTGTGCTTTTCTGCTGCGCCACACCTTGCCTTCCTAGCGGGAGAAGGGACAGCTGGAGGCCAGCCTGCTTCAATTACTTTGTGGTCTCTAACAATCCTCCTTCACAAAACCATTTCAAAGCACTAAAATCCCATCTAATAACTTGTCACTAAGGGCACACACCTGAATCCTGAAAGCCCAGCTGAGATAAATGATCTGTCATGAATATTTTATGTGTCTCTCTCCGCAGAAGTAACCGCAAATCATGAGACCAAGAAATTCTTTCCTTCTTTCAGCAATATTTCTCACAAAACAATGGACTTGAGAATTAAACATGTCTGGGTTTTATTCAAGTGGTGGGACTTGGTTATTGAATAGGATTTGGCAAAGACAAAGGAAACCTAGAAGGGAACAAGTGATGCCAGCTGTTACCTTGTGGATTTCCTCTCCAGATTCCAGCAGGCACTGAAGGGCTCTGCCTTACCCCTAATCCCCATGGATATGCTGACAGTATCATTTACTGCACATTGGAGAAGGCATTCTGCAATGTTTCTGCAGTGGGTTTTGCCTCTCTGCCTTGTCAGACTGCACAGGACAGATGGGGGATGACCCACCAGAGGCACAGCCCACCCCTCCCAACTCTCCGTTGCCATTACCAAAGCTGTAACATTTGCTAAATTAAAAAAATCTCTGCTGTGCTGCCAGAAGACATGTTAGCCAAGGGGACTGCAAAGGGTGTAAGGCCAAAGGGGTTTGCTGGAGGCTACAGGCAGGGGTGGATTTCTTTGCCAGTCTTAAGGTGTCACAAGCACCCAGTGCTGCACATTGGCTGAAGTGAGTCAAATCTGCCTTCCTCAAAAGACACCCTTGTACTACGTGAGGAACCTGGAATACAGTTTGAGTAAAGGCCTCCTCCTACTGGCCAACCCCAATGGTCCTCAAGGCAGGAGAGACTGCTTTAGTGCAGAACATCACCAATACTTTCTCAAGTTCACAAAGACAGTGGCCATGCCTTCACTATAGTGCTAATTTGAGCAAAAGCTGGTGCTCCACACAAGCTGTGATCAATCAAATGCACACAGAACCTCCTGGAGACACCCTTCCCCATGTGATCCCCAGGCATCACAATACTTCGGCTGTTGTCCAGAGAAAGTGATGAATAATTGTAAGAAATTATTTGTAAAGATACAAACCCCTTTGTTTTTAACATCTTTACAGGAACCAAGTTAATACAGTTCCTCTGGCATCCTATTTATTCTCCCTCAGAGGGAACGGAGAGAAATTGCATCTGGAAATCCAGGTGGCTGAGCCCTGTAACTCTTCCTCCTGAATCCCCATATAAATAAACATTTATATTCAGAATTTTCTGTTTTAAAAAAACAGAATAATTTGCCTTTTTTTTTTAAGCTTGGTACCATGTTTCTTTAATGTTGTTGTGAGATAGTGCACCCATCTTTCAGCATTTGATTGCCTTAGGTGACCTTTTTAAAATGGTCCTATGGTTGAAAGCTCTCAGAAGTGTGGTATTAAGGCATAGAACGTGAGGAGTTTTCTTTCCAGGGAGCAGACTGTATTTGTATTACATTCCTTTAGGTTCTGAACTGCAAATTCCATCCCCTCAGAGCCAAAAGGGGAAAAGACAGTTAAAAATATCCCAGCAGTCATACAATCAGTTGTCTGTATTTTTCTGAATCTTAAAAAAAAAAAAAAAAAAAAAAAAAAAAAAAAAAAAAAAAAAAAAAAAAGAGAAAAAGGAAAAAAATATCCCGTAAGTAGAGACAGAACAGAGTTCCAGATATGGGTTCTTGGGAGGGATTTTTCCATTCTTTTTGGCACCTTGTGATTCTAACAGCTGTTGCCCTCCCACTGAAAAATCTGCCTTTAAAAAGAGCTCTTTATCAGCTGTGTTTTGAGCTGTTACAGTTGTGGTTGGTTTCCTGTGAAAGCTGCTTTAGGGCTCCTGCCATCCCATGCCCACCCCGCCATCACTCCAGCTCCTCCCACCGGTTCTTCATTCACTGGTTGCCTGTCCTTGTGGCACTGTGGATGTGATGACTCCAGTCTGGGCTGGCACTGCTCCACTGGGCTCTTCTATCCGTGGTCTTTTCACTTCAGGCTCACTGGAGGAGGCTGCTGCCGTCTCTTCGGTCCCTGGCTCGCAGACCCGGCTGACTACAACAGGAGTGGACGAGCTGGCCTGGGCTGCAAGGAGCTGCAGTGGATTTGTAAGAGCTGGGAAGGAGGATGAGAAGCAGAATTAGTGAGGAGAAGCAGAACAAGCGTTTGCTATTCCAAGAAAAGCAGGAAAACAAAATCCCAGCGTCAAACGTGACAGCTGGCACACGGACAAGTGTTGTTTCCCTGTGCATTTGGAAAGCCTGGCTTGCCTTGTCCTTCCCTTTCCCCCTCCACAACCTCAGCTTTTCAAGTTTACCAAACCAACAACAACCCCTCTCACAGGAGAAGTTCCTTCTTCCCATCCACTCTTCCCATCCACTGCCAAGCAAGGCATTGCTAGCTAAGTATTTGTCCCCAGCAGGGGAGGATCAAGCCCTAGTTAAAATTACAGCACATCTCTCTGAGAGGCAGTTCTGATTGTAGGTGGCCAGAGAATTTCTCATGAACTCCACCATCCATGTGCTGGGCCTTTTATCTAGAGGTCTGGAGTCTCTCTTGAGCCCTGCTCGCACAAGAAGAACAAACCAGACTGTTGGGAAATAGAATCCAAATATTGAGGGTACTGACATCCCACTTGTAAAAGGGGGAGGAAAGAGCTTACCCTAGACAACCACATTATTCCCATCAGAACTGGGATCAGAACATAGAAATTTTTGGCTTCCAATCTTGTATTGCAGCACTGACACAAGGTCTTACCCTCCCATTAATAAAAGTGGTAAGAAAAAAGATGATTTAAGTAGCAATTCTCTGTAAAAATGTCTACAATTCCTAGTTCCAGACAGAGAATGTGCTTACACACTGACTTTGGCACACACCACTGCTTGGAAAACAAAACACATGCAGTTTTTGGACTCTGCATCAATCAGAGAGGAAGCCAAAGGGGACTCAGGAAACAGCACATCCTCTGCCCTCCAGACTCATTTGCAAAGGATGGAATGACTGAACATCAGTGCTGTGTTCACTGCTAAATGCATGAAAAAAAAGGAGCCCTAGGATAAATAAACAAAGCCAATAGAACAAAGGCCCTCAAAGCCCAGTAACTTCTACCAAGGCATGAGAAGAAAGCTGTAGAGTATCAAGAGGATGAAGAGAAAAAAAATAGGGTAAAGATGAGGGCAGTCAGCAATTACAGATTAGTGACTTAGGGAACTTAAATCAAGCAGTTGAAGAGAAGTTAACTTAGTACAGATGAGAATCAAGAGACTCAGGCTTTATTTTGTGAAGCAGAAAATTTACTGCCACTAACAAAAAAACTCAGATGCAACTGGAATACTTCCCACTTTGATGAGAGTTATAAAGCTTGGTGAAATTAAAATATTTTAACATAAAAATGGTAAATAAAAAACTGTGTGATTCTATATTAGACAAATGCTACTGCTGGTTAGTAGAAGCTTGACCTATCTGATCTATTAATATCTTATAATAATTGCATAAAAATCTTTATCACTATCGCTTTTTCATAGTTCCAATGAGATTCTTGCAATTCAAGTGCATGCCAGGTGATAACTGTGAAGAGTTATGGCAGGAAATTCTGTAGAAACATTCCTACTCTCATGAAAGGCATCCAAAGCCCAGCAGTGCCCTTCATTTCAAACTCCCAAAAGCACCAGCCTGAGGCAGCAGAAGTGCTTGGCCTCTCAGTGAAAAAAGCTGTGAGAAACCTGGATATTCCCATTCCCAAATTAATAAAATCTGAGGTGCAGAGCAAGCAAGAGGAGCCTGCCAAGACATGGCTTGTATGGAGTTTCAAAAAACCATGCTTGACAAATGACTAGAACACATCCTGTGTATACAAAAATCCTACATTCGTTCACCTGGTGAAATAGATCTTGTTTCTCTCAGGCTCTAAGACTGTAACATGGGAAAGTATGTTATTTCTTATTACTCTACAGAGTCATGTTTCACAAGATCTAAAGACCACCATGGAAATTTCATTATTTGGCATGCTGCAAGCAAAGGCTGTTGGTCAGAAGAAAAGAAATTAAAACAGGCTCTCCACAAGAGAATCACTGACACTTTCAACAAATAACCTCAAGTGGTAGAGAGTCTCAGTACCAATAACACAAAGGAAGGTCAGGGCTTTTCTGCAGAGAACAGAGCTTTTCCCCCAGGAAAGGGAGCAGAGGTGGACAGAAAGGAACCTCCCACTGACTGACAGCCCTAAAAGTGGAAGCATTGCAATACCTTTGAGATGGACACATGGAATAACTCGATACACAGAAAGCAAGAGGAGAAAACACTGGCAGCTTTACACCCTGGCTGCTGAGCTCGGGGAGCAGTGCCAGACCCACCGTAGGTGCTGCCGGCGATGCTGTTGGTGGGCACAGCGTGTTTGCCGTTCTGGGTGACCGCCCGCACCGGGAGCTGGTGCTGGCCCAGGGCCACCGGAGCTGCCTGCTGCAGGATGGTGACAGTCTGCCCAGGGACACCCTGGGCCATCTGACTGGCCACGGTCTGGATAACACGGCTGGCTGTGGGGATCGTGGCAAATGCGATCGTTGGCTTCTCGTCCATGCCTGCGGAAGAGACAAGGATCAGTCGCTGGCCTGGCTTAGAGGCAGGTTTTATTCTCATTTACACTTCAGCAGGAATACATACACCAGGACTGCAACACCTTAGCACCACAGAAGGTCAGGGATGAGTATTTGGAAACACTAAAGTACTCTCTATTACACATTTACTCTATCAATATTAAGAACATTTTTCTTACCATATAAGCCACAAGAAAAAATAAAAAAATCAAAAAATCAAACCCATCAATTTGACCCTTTGCCCTAAAAAGGCAGCACCTCCCTTATTGGCACATCACAGCTGTGATATGGACAGCAAGCACTGCAAATCTCATAGCTTACTTTGCAATTTCAAACAAACTGGCCTGACTTTCAATACCACACAGCAGGAGAAGGCATTAAGATCTTAAACAATGCCTGGAGCCAAAAGTCTGCAGCAGCTTGCTGTCAGGCCTATATAGAGGTTGATTTACAAGAAGGTCTTCCTACAATTGCCAGGTTTTTGCTGTGGAAGTATAGGAAAAAAACAGGATGGAGGAAAAATAAAAAATAGAAAAGGAGAGCAGAGTTCCTAGGCAGAGGTAACTGCTTGGAGAGCACTAAACCACTTTTCTCACTTCCCAGGATAAGTAAGGGGTTAATTCAGCAGGTATGCAACAGATACAGGCATGCAGGAAAGGAGAGGAACCATTCTTCCAGGGGCTCTGTGTGTCTCAAAAGAGAGAGCAGGAAGCACAATCTCATTAGTCCTGCAGGAAAAGAAGGCCTCTCTCATTTTTACATTTGCACACAAGAGTGGAGTTAGATGGGACTAAGCACTGAGCTGAAACCTGCAGGCAAGCTGATGGGAATGGGGAGAGAAAAGGCAAGGAAAGCAAGGAGTTCAGGAAGGAAAATGCATCAAGCAAGGAAAGTAGAGACTACAAAAGGATATGAGTGGGATAAGTAGAGAAAGAACAAGTAACAGCAAGAACCAGTAAATGAAAGAAGGGAGCAGGTGACAGGCAGCTGCAACTGCTAGTGCTTCAGGAACATGTATGGGATCCAGACAGGAATTTCTACAGAATGCAAGTGAAACTCAAGCAAGATAACCAGTGCTGAACTAAAAATGCCAGTGGTCCTGCTGCTTCAAGAGGGGAAGCTCTTTGTCATTTTTTCCTTCCCTTAGAGAGAAGGACCACTGTCCCACCGCCCACACAAAAGCAGTCAGAGAAACCAGCCTTGCTGCTGGTACAACATATACTGACCTCGTAGCACTAAGACCTTCTGAAATGGGGAGCAGACAAGGTGTTGTCTAGATCACAGCAAGAGAATATTTAACTCACTAAATCCCCCAAGGCTGGAATTTCCAGCTTAGGGACAAAAAAAAAGGCCTTTGTTCTAACTGGTTTTTGAAGACTGCTTTAATGGGGCACTGCCTGCACTTCCAAAAGCACATTCTTTCCTCTAGGAATCCAGGCCTGTAAAAAAGAAGGGCTCAATCATTTATTTACAAAGCCATCCTGAAGCAGAGTTGTAGCCTTTCCCAGCCTCTCTCTTTTGGCTGGAAAATACACACACTTTCATAGCCAATATACAGGCAAAATATTGGTATTGGGGATAATTACAAAAAAAAATGGAGAGACAGAACAAGGGGGAATGGCTTCAAACTGAAAGACCAGGTATAGATGAGATATTAGGAAGAACTTATTTCCTGTGGAGGTGGTGAAACCCTGGCACTGGTTGCCCAGAGCAGCTGTGGCTGCCGTATCCTTGAAGTGTCCAGGACCAGGTTGGATGGGGCTTGGAGCAACCTGGGATAATGGAAGGTGTCCCTACCTATGGCAGGGGGATTGGAATGAGATGATTTTCAAGGTACCCTCCAATTCAGATCATTCTATGATTCTATGGTAATAAGCAAATTTCAAGCGCTGTATGTTTTCTCAGGCTCCAAAGTCTGTTAGTTTTGCTCCCCAGGAGACACGGGAACACAGTTTTTCTGCTCTCTGGTGGAGACAAAAAATGGATGAGCTCTCATTTGGTTTATGTTTTACCTGAAGAAACATCTTTTTTAATGGTTCAGTGCCTACTGAGTGAAAATATTCAACCACTCTCTCTCCTAGCCTGCTCAAGACTTATTAGCAGAGTAGCAAGGGAGGCGAAACGCTACCTCGGTGGTCAGCAGCTAAGTCCAACACTGCTCCTGCAGCTTCATGAGCTCCTCCTGCTGTGCCCTGGTTTGTGAGGATGTATCCATTTGCAGAGTTTGCAGAGGAGGTCACCACTCGGACCATGGTAACTGTGGGAGCTTGCTGAACGACATGGATTGCGTGGCACGAAGGCTGCTGAGAAGTCACTATGGATGCTGGCATGTAGGCCACTGGTTTGGCCACCAGGGTGGATGGTCGGGGAGGAACAGCCATAATCACTGGCTGGGCACTCACTGGAGATCCTGAACAGAAAAGAGAAGCACATGTAAACAGGAGAGGCAAAAAGACCTCCATTTATTTCATCTGGGCACTTCCAGTCTACTCAGTGCTTCAGCACTGGCAGGAAGGGAGGCAGAAACAAACAAACAAAAAAAATCAAAGCTTCAAAAATAAAAAACTTCTCCCTCATGTACAAAAACCTTACTTGTCATCTTGTATTCTGTGAATAAAACCATACTAAACATTAAGAAAACACCCCAACCCAAGCTTTCCTTAATGAGCTCTGCCTTCCAACCTCATGCTACACTCCAGGTCAGCACAGATGACAAGCAGGTATTTACCAGGCCCTGGCCACAGCACCAGAGCTTGGTGTAGCCAAGCTGATCTTATCCAGAGGCTGGTAAATGAGAGCAAGTGAGCTGTGTGTTACTCTGCTGTCAGATCTTTACAGCCACGTAGCTCAAGGTTGGATCAGCTGTCTCTACACATTCTGCCCCTCATTCAAAGTGGAGTAAGAAAAATGGGTTGAAGTTGTACTTGCACCATCAGTCTCTAACAATAAAATGGAAAGTGAGTCCTGGATCCTCCAAAAAGCACTTGGAGAAGCCTTTCTAGGGTGTCCTCAGCATGGCACATGGGCCAAGTGAACAGCCAGCCTCTGGAACAAGAGCTACTCACCGGGTGCACTCTGGGAATACCGATACTCTGGAACTGAGGCTAACTTTGACCCAAAGTCGTGATCATGTGGAATGGGTGAGCCCTCCCGTGACAGGCACTCTGGAGTCTGTAGGCCACTAGAGTGAGGGGACAGCAGGCCAGGGTGAGTAGGGGAGGCAGGAGCACTCCTGAAACACCAAAACATAGTGTTGAAAAGTGCAGATGCGTTTTAACCACAAGACAGCAGCAGAGACCCAGAGTTATGTCCAGTACAGGATTCTCTAGGAAGGACAGCCTTTCCTCCACACCACCCACTGCAGTCCTGCTGGGAAGAGCTGAAAGGTACACAGGGACCCCACAAACACTCCAGCTCCAACATTGTTGAGTTATTCCTTGCTGAAGGAAACTGGAGCCTTCAGAGAAAGGTGAACCTTTCATTGTTAGACCCACTGCTGACAGAGAATCCCCAAATCTGAGCCACATGCTCAGATCAGTTTTATAACTTGAAGTTATTCTCAAAGTATCTATATCAGACTTTGAGAGTGACAGGGAGGAGAAGAAAGATGCAAGTAGAGGCAAGAGTCTGGCCCTGCATATGCTTACAGAGCAGTTGCTTCCCCTTCTCCCCTGTTGCTTCCCTCCCCAACCCCTTGGTTCCCCCATCTCTGATCCCAAATATGTGAGGAATTGTACATTTCTTTAATGATAAACCAGAATAAAAAGCTGAAAAATTCTCCTCCTGTTTCCTCCACATTTTAACAGAGAAAATAGGAGGTGTGGGAGGAATGTTCCATGAAACTGCTCCAGCTAGTGCTGAATTCCAAGTCTTCTCCTCACAGCTACAGGGCTCAAAGAAGCTGTCACTGCACAAGGCAGTGGAGCTGACTGGAGCAGCCACACACAACTCCCATTGCTTCACTGCTGACAACCACCATCAACATGATCTTCCCTATAGGAGAGTGTTTTAAATACCACAGAAGCTATTCCCACTATGATCTAATCCACATCTAAACACAGCTTTCCTGAAATCAGAGATTGGCATCTGAAAACACTCACTCCAGTGATAAGTGCTTTGAATTTCTTTGAAATGATGCCAAAACAGATATATTATTTGATGCATTTTTGCAGTTTGAATCTGGATTTTTTTTTTTTTATTAAACACTTAAGAAGTCAGGACAATTTTCAGATTATGCTTCAGGACTAACTATATCACCTCTCAAACTATAAACAGAAGCAAAGTTTACTCACTGCACTTCAGGAGAAGTTTTAGTTTATTTTCTTTGTAATGAGTTTGGGAGAGAGATGAGAGAAAACTGAAGTTACCTGGAGGAGAGAGGCCCAAAAGGTGTTCGGAAGCAGGACACTCCTCTTTGCCTTCTTTTTCTAAATGCTTGTTCTACAAGTTTGGCTTCAGAGGCAGGGTCAATTCGCCAAAAGGAGCCCTTTCCAGGCTCTTCTTGGGAGCGTGGGACTTTAATAAAGTAACGGTTCAAGGAGAGGTTGTGCCGAATGGAATTCTGCAGGAAGCAGAGGAATGAGGTGATTATTTTGCCATGTAGAAGCATGTAACAAAGACAAATGGGCTGCACCACACAGCTTGGAAAAATAAATCCAGGCTGCCAGAATCAGTGTTGAAGGTAGAAACAAGTCACTCAACTCACACGGCTCCAAAGTCACAGGGGAACAGCAGGAGAAAACCTGGGGGAAAGTGTCAGAGTTTCTCCTAACCAAGCTGAAAGATGGGTTTGCTTGGTGCTAACCATTACTTAAATACATCTGGAGCCAGTCAGAGCAGTGACTTCTCTGTGGAAAGCCATGAAAGCAGAGCTTTTGCTGAGGCAGGGGGAAATCACTGTAAACCACATCAGAACTCTCTCAAAAGACAGGCTTTATTCTCGGCAAGTGGAAAAAGCTGTCTGAGCCTGTGCTAACTGCTCACCTGCCAAACGATTACCAGGGTGCCCAAACATGCCCTAGAGGACACTGCATCTCACAGTAATCACAATGCAAGGCAGCCAACATGCCCTCAGCCAGCTCTGGGAGGAATCCATGAGCTCTGTGGCACTCTGTAGCTCTCTACATGATGACAAGACTGTTTATCCTTTCCATTGCAACAGCTCACCTCTGACAGGGTGTAGCGTTGCCTTTTGGGGCTGGGGAAGGGCTCAGCAAGCCCCTGTGTGCACAAACTCATCCCTCTTCCACTTTCAAAACAAAAATAAAGTTTTTCTAGCAGGTTTAGACAATCTCTTCACTGGTGAAGCCTTACAATGCCACTGGAGGGGAGAGAAAAAGGCAACTTCACTCCCTACTGAAATGCAGCTCTCTGAAGCAGGATGCAGCAACTGGTTCACAAAGCACAACTCTGCCGAGCAGGTTAGGGCAGGAAGTGAATTCCACAATTAATTAGAACTGCAGGGAAAAGCCAGGGAGGCAGAAATGTATTTATTCCAACTGCACTCAAAGTGCACCAAGCAGTTCTGCTCCTGCCAGTTGCACACAGTGAAATCAGCAGCTGCGAGAGCCTTTGCAGCTGTATTAGTGTATTACATTCAAATGCCAACACCCATGGCAGAGGTGTGATGCCAAGAAAAAGTCTGAAAGCAGGTGGAGTTGAGGCTCCTGACACTTTGGAAGCAGCCCTCAAGTGAACACTGAAGTTTGATTTAGCATGTGCTAACTACATCCAAGCTCTCCTCTGAAGTTGCTCAGATTTCCCTGAGTACCACAAGGAGTACATGGACTCCTAGTTTCCCAAGTTCTCACTCAAATTCAGAACTTGCAAACTGTGACTTAGGCAATGCAGTTGATAAACTGGGAAAACAAAACATCTGTAATGATTTAAGGTGCTATAATTAAAAACTGGAGCCTCAGTTTTAGGTTGGATATCCTCTGCTTGGAGAAATCAGGCCAAAGATGAGGTGAAGGATTAAGCAAGTATCTGGCCAGAGGAGTGACAAGCAAGGATGTAGGGAAACCAAATACAAAATGAAAGACACAGGAATACAGCATTAAAAGAGAAACCAGAGAGCCCAACAGTAACACACTACATTGCCCTACAAAGTATTCAAAAAAACCCAACTAATCACCCACAAATGAACTAGTCAGCTTGTGTTAAACAAATTCACTCTGGGAACAGTCAAAGCAGCTCTATTCCCAGTGCCCCAAATCTTTAATAAATGCATTTCAAAGCAGATAAGCCATGTCAAAGTAGTTTAAAAGCTTGTCAGTGTCAAGAACTCACCTGCCAGCCTTTGTCAGCAGTCCTGTAATACGGATAATGCTTGGTAATGTGGGCATAGATCCCACTTAGTGTTAATTGCCTGTCCTGTGCTGAAGATATAGCCTGCACAATTAGCTGAGCATAAGAATAGGGTGGCTTGGATTCATCCTAAGCAAGGAAAAAACCAAACAAAAATTTAGTCACTAACTAAGAATTCTTACACTGCAGTGTACCACAACACAAACTTAAAAAGCACATTGGGATGTAATTTTCACTGATGGCAAGAGAGCAGCAGGGCAAAGAGAACATCAGCTCTCCCACTGCTGTTTTATGCTGCCACCACCCCATTTAGCACAAGCATTTGTGTGCAAACAGAACTACAGGGCTGAGTCAGATGAAAGTACCTCCTTCCATCTCCCCACAAACACACATAAACCCCAACTTCAATCTGATTCCTTTCCCCACCAAATTTCTCACACATGCTTACACCAGCACAAGGGAAGGGGTCAAGACAGGCAATTGGAATGAAGAACTAGAGTACAGGTACACTCATTGCTTTCTGTGTTCATGAATTAAAGCCCTCAGTTCTGCCCAGCTACAGCTCCACTCTGTTAGAAAGGTTTCAGGCAGTATGTTATCAGCCCTCCTCCCAGCAACAAGCCCAACATGAAACCTGATGCCACTCCTTCCCTTCTCCAGCAGGATTTGTTTCATTCTAGGAACTTTAATTTGCTTGCTAGATCTCGTATTTCCAACTCTTTGCATTACTTCATCAAGAACAACCCTTCTTGTCTCAAGGGAGAATTAAGTCTACCAAAAAAACCCATCTAGTAGTGTGCTCCTCCACCCAATCCCAAATCAGGTGGTTTTGGATACGGAACTTTTAACTTTGATCTGAAGATCAGCTCACCAAAATTACATTTTATCATTCTAAGTTATTTTTAAATCTAAATTCCACTTGCTACTCTCCTCGTTTAACGCCTACTTGACAGGCCTTCATGTTTCTTTCAAAGTCTGACTACAGACTTTTCATGACAAGGATCTGGGTTTCTTCCCCTGCTTCTGCTTTCTCCAACTGTGTTTTGCAAAATACCATTAATTAAAGAACAAAATGAGATGTTGAATTTTATGCGCCTCCTTTTTATGGGATCTTGATTTATCAAATAAGCAAAACAATTATTCTTGCTTAAACACTTTAGTGAGTGATTTGAATACATTCTGGGCAGCTAAGAAAGCAGAGACTACCACAAAGCCAAGGACAATTTGAAGGAATGACCTCAAACCCCTGCAGGATACTGTACACAGCACCCTTATGACCAGGGTGTTCTTAAACCCCTTTTAACTCTAACCAGGACAAGCAATAAAGCCCCAGGTTTTAATAATCCTCCCAGGGAGCACTGCTGGGTAAATAATGTTTGTGTGAACCTTTGGGCTGTCCCCGCCAGATGCATCTGCCTGCTGCTCTGATGCTGCCTTTGCCGCATACTCTGCTGCCAGCTGCAGATCCGAGGTAATGTTGTGAACAAAACGATATCCTGAGGATCCAGCACCACGTGGACTGGCTGGGCAAGAGTTGGGAACACTGGAGAGGCAAAAAAAGAAAAAAAAGAAATACAGTTGTTACTTCATTTATTACCAAAGCATGCAGTTCTTACTCTCGAAGGTACAGTAAAGCTCTCCGGCCATGGAGAACCAGATGCAATGGCCTTACTTTTACCCCTGTGGCTTATCCAAAGCCCAGACAGACTGAGAAAAAAAAACCACCAGAGATAAAACTGGAATTTCTACAAAATCCTGACACTCCCTGCCATATACACTTCCTGCAATCACAACAGAGCAGTGTTTCAAAGTATTAAATAACTCCTTTGTGTTTAGAGAAGCACTTGAAAGTTCAAACAACAGAGAGTATCAGGGATGAATATTTAAGTAAATGAATAGTTTGTTATTATGGAACAACACACCAATCTCCTTGAAACACAGATCATATTTAATCAATCCTTCTAACAGACAGTTCTACAGCATCAGAGCTAAAAGAACCCAGAGCAGGAATCTGCCATGGAAGTCTCTAACATCAAATCTGAGCTTCACAAGAGCATACCCTGACACCACACAGCTGGAGACAGGTGTTTCCTTGATTCACCCCACACTCATGCAGCCAGCAAAGGGGAGCTGCACTCACTGCCTACACACAAAGATAGCCCAACATCAGTTTTGGCTGGAAAAGGCACATTCAGAGTGGCAGGGCCACCACAAGATGGCATTACAGGAACGGTGACTGAGCACTACAGGCTATGAAAGGTGATAAAATGCTACAAACACATAAAAGGGGGCTAAAATTTGCAACAATCACTCAGGCACACAGAAATGAGTGCTACAAGATGAGAACTAATTAGAAAGGCTTGTCTAGGGATCACACGTCCTTGATTTGTAGGCTTGGAAGAATTAAAGAATTGGATTGGAAGAGACCTTAAAGATCACCTTGTTCCAACCCCCTGCTGTGGGCAGGGACATCTTCCACTGGACCAGGTTTTTCCAAGCCCCATCCAACCTGGCCTGGAAGGATGGGAAGAGAGGGATGAGTCTGGGAAGCTGAAATTCCCTTTTTCTCTCTCTCCCTTGCCCTGTGCTGTCCAGAATTGAGAGATTCAGTGCCAGAACAGCAGGATGCACAGCCAAATCCCAGGATTACAAATGTCTTCTAGGAGCAGAGAAACAGTAAACAAGAAAGCAAACCAATACACAGAAGATTTACATAGCAAAACGAGCAGTTCAAATTGTATGAAAAGATGCAAATTGAAGCTCACAGCTGGAACTAGAATTCAGTAAAACTGGCATAAACAATCCTCTTACTGGTGAAATGCCCAATAACTGACACACAAACTGACAAACAAATGCTGACACTCATCAGAGCACTGCACCAAATGCTGCATGAAAAAACACAGAACGTTGGTCCCTTCCTCAAAAGGTGACTGTCTGGATAGCTTCCCCCACGTGCACACAGGGATGGAGAGGAAGCAGTGAGACAACCCTTGTTTGCTCAGTGGGCAATACCTTGGTTGCAGAAGCAATTTGTTAGTGTAAGGAATGACCATTTCCTACCACAGTCCAGCCTGTAAACTGAGAAGTGCTGCTACTCCTTGTGGTGTCTCTGCAAATGGCTGCAGTGCTGAGCTCAGCACAACCCAGACTGGTTTCTTTTAAAAGTGAATTACAGAATGGGGAGGGGGGGGCTGGAGGGCAGAGGAAAGGCAGCACAATATCCAGCCACAACAAACCCTTCCAAAAGGGAACCCAAGCTCACCCCTGTCCCATATACCAGCTTTGTACAGCACCTGGTAACTCTTCCAGTGCCCACCAATAGTCCTGGACATTCATGGGTGATGCTGTTCAGGAGCACAGCACATGGTAAAGCTTTCAGCTGGTGCAAGATATAAAATGTGGATGAGCCCATATTTACAGATCTCCCTTTGCCAGTGATAAAGGCATTTCTTACCCAGCCTTTCAAAGAGCAGAGACCTATTTGTGCAGGAAAATGAATGAAAATTTGCTACTCGAAGCTTTGGAAGTGGGTAATACTAAACCACAGAAGACACTCATGATGTCTTAGTATTCACATGAGGAGTTGGTGTGAATTTAATTATTCTGCTGTCATTTTTCAATAGCTTCTTCATATACACACTTCTTATAATGTGCAGATAATTACAGCTGAAAGCCATTTTCCTACATGAAACAATGACGAACCAAAAACACGGCGATTCTTTTTGTGTTTGGCACCCGAGCAATTATTGTAACACACGGGCTAGAAATGGAATAGGATGAAACAGAGTTTTCTGATTTTGTTATTTGTCTGCAGAAATACACAAACAGCAAACCACAGAGACAGAAGCCAAAACTCAGGACAAAGATATGGAAGAGAGAAAAGTCCTCCAATAAATCCATGCTCTGCAGAGCTGTATTTCTTGATTTTTCTTTTCCTTTTTAATAAATACATAAATAAAAATAGATAGAAGAATTTATTCCTTCATTCTAGATCAGCAGAGCAAGCAGCTCAGTTTTTGTCTCTTCAGCTCTACCTTCTGAATTTTAAGAACGATCTCTTGCTTAAAAAAAACAAACAAACAAAAAATCAAAGGGAGAAACCATCCCTTGCAGGACTGTGATTCTCTGGAGTGTTGACAGAGCCCCTCCAAACTAAAGTGTTAATAACTTGTAGAAAAGCCAGCTGCCCCTCGGGACAGCCACAGGCCAAAGATTTGGAAGAGATATTATCTTTTATCAGAATGAAGCACTTTTGTCCAGGTAGATCTGCTTCCTTTCAGCCTGGATCAATGATCAAATCAAGAGATGTGGGGACAGAACAAACACCAGCATTTAGGCACTCTGTGCACAGACAGGGTAACACATGCTGCTGAGTGTTCAAGCTCTCAGTCAATCATCACAGCTCTTCAGAGGGGAGGCAGAAAGAGCTGACTACTGGAAAAAACAAGGAGACACAATCTGTTCCCCTCCCAACATGGGACAGAAGGAGTGAAGAAACAGTTTTACTAAAAATACTCCTCTGAGGGTTAAGTTAAAATTAAACATTAGTGCAGTCAAAAGAAAACAAGCAAACACAATGCAGTGACATCAGTTTCCTGGAGTTCCTGGAATTCTCCTCACCACCCAAAGCCAGGGGCTGGCCAGGGATGCTTGCATGCACTCACACCCCCTTTAAAAATATTATGAAACAAAGAGTTTTCCCTACAAACACCTGTTTGTGCTATAAAATAAAAATCAACTGCAAGGACAGTAATAATGATTTGTTGGATATTAACAGAGCATCAATGCTTGGCCATAACTTGATCCATGTTGATGCTGTGACCTTTCACTGAGAAAAGCACAGCTAGGTCTGCAATTTCACCCTGCTCTGACATCCTACCACACTGCTGTGATCCATGCTCACTGTCCATGCTGGCAAACCTAGCTTACAATCAATCCAACCTAATTTGGGTTAAGATTGTTTGTTATGGAAGAGAACATTTTGGAGAGGAAGCAAGTGTTTTACACCACTGAAAGACACACAGAGCATGGAAGCAACCCAGCTGCAGTTACCCACACACAGTCTTAATCCCATAGTACCATGCTTAACGCCCCAAGTGCCAGAGATCTTTGATATCCACTGAGGATTCAGCATCTCAACTTGAAACAGTGACTGCAGGCAGCCACTGAGCCACAGTTCTCTAAATACCACGCTGGGAACTCAGCTTTAGAATCAGACTACAACCACGTGCTGAATCACACCAGACCTCTGCAGCATGTTTTCCATTTCAGACTTAACCCTTCTTTGGCAGGAGGGCCAGAAAGATGAGGGCTAAGGGCAGTCTCTGCAATACACTCACCCATGGAAGTGGAAGGATGCCTTTTAAACACGGGGCTTGAACGTTCTTTGTAACACCACGATTCACTTTCAACTCCTGCCAAGAGGAACCCGGCCTGTAAGTTCACAGCACTTGCTAGCAGCAATTAACTCTAAGCTGCTGGAGAGTGTGTACAACGTGCTGCACTGCTATTGGAATGTCTACAATCAGTTTGTTTAACCAAACAATCGGCCTGCAAAAATAGGGTGTACCACTGTGTGCATGGTGCATTCACACCAGGACACCGTGTGGTGCTTGTCTACTCTCATAAAAAAAAGAAATGAAAAAGGATAGAGCAGATCTAGAGAAGGTACTGACAGGGCTAAGTAGAATGATTAGAGATATAGAATGGATTTTGTACAAGAAAAAATTGTTTAAGAGAGAAGCTGAGGTGCAAAGTGACAGAGCTATAAAAACAAGAGGAAGTGTTTAGCTCCAGGCCTCTTACACCAAAAGAGATGGTGAGCACAAAATGAAACTAAGCAGCATGTCCAAAACAAAAGAAAGTGCTTCTACTTCTGTGGCTACCCTGTGGAGTGACATGCTGTAAGACAGGGCTGGTGATAAAGTCTGTGTGAACGGAAAAGACCAGTACACAAGTTCTTGGGGTGAGACAGGGAAGTCACCAGGGGCTTTAGAAAACAGGTAGTCAGGAAGTCCCTGCTTCAAGGCAGTCTCCTGTCCAAGAAAATGGAGGCAAACTACACCTAAGTCAGCATTACTCTGTTTTCTGTGTTCTTATGTGATCCCCAAGATACCCATGTCTGAGGCAGAACACTGCTAGAGGGATCTGTTCCCTGGGCACACCGAGATTCTCATGTAAAGATTTCCACAGCCTCACAATACTAGGCACGTTTTATGGACTAGGGGGTAATAAAAATAAAAATGAAGCAACAAGTGCTTACATTATTTATTTATGATCATATTACAAGTCTGTGAACAATCTGGAAACCGAAACACTCCCAAATTCCAGTGCCAACTTCCCCAGAAGGAGAGGCAGTAGTAGAATGCAGGAAAGTTGCCTTATTACTCAATCAAGGGATCAAGCTATGAAGGATAAATTTAAACCAGGCATAAGGAAAAGGTACCTATCCTCTCTATGACAAAGAGGAAAGATTACCTGGGATCCCATAAAAATTTGTTCACCTGACTTGGAATCTGCACTGCTAAAGAAGAACAAAACCAT